TCCTCATCCCTCGGTGTCTCTGGAGGCATTACTTCAACGCTTGGATAAATTAAGAGATGATTTTTACGGATAAGGAAATATATATATTTAAAAAAAAAAAAATTTTTTTTTTTATGAATCCCTAATCTGATTAAAATAATCAGATTAAAAAATATCAGTTATATACAATATACTGTATTATTAATTAAATAAATTTATTTGAAAAAAATGACCCCCCTGTTATTATTGGTTAAATACTACAAATCGATTCTTTGAATATTTGAATATGGAAATGTCGCACAAATATTCTGCCTGTCCAAATAGGTCAAGTGATCTTCGAAAAACAATATACGACCTGACCAACATAAGTAGCACCCATTTACAAACAATCGAAATAGTTCTCGCCTTAATTCTTTTTTTTTTATATATTTGACTATGGAAGAAGATTTTTTCTCATTATAAAACATTTACAATGAAGAAAAACATGCTAGGCCTTTATTTCAAGTTTCAAATTTCAGACTAACCTCTTTTTTTCTTTTCGTCTTTGTAACTATTCAAGGTGAAATTTTTGAATTTTCACTCAAAAAACCTAACTAAAACCTACAACAGGTCTCACCTTCTTTTTCCTTCTCCATGACCGACACCGACAATACCCCTCCTCCTGTACCTCCGAAAGAAGATCTTCGTCCGATGACACCTCCAAAAGACTTCCCCAGAATGAGTGCTGAGGGTTATGCTACGGTTGGTGCGTCCACCTCGACGGCAACTTTTGAAGTTCCTCATTCAACCTCGAACACCTTTCCCGGTGCAAAGGGAACAAACAAAAATTTAACTAACCAACTTACCTCAACTTTGGACGAAATATTTGTTGAACCAATCATTGTTACCGAAAATACTAATAAAGCATCTGTTCTCCACGAACCTCGAGTGTCCAAAAATAAGCCAACCAAAAGTTCTGAAAATGTATTCTCGAAAATTTCTTGGTGGTTAAGTTGGGGTAGACTAAAGCCTAAAAAGAATCATCCTTCCAATAATAAAATTAATAGCGTTCATAATCATAATGATAATAGTGATAGTAGTAACAATGACAATTTGATAACACCATCATCGCATTCAACGAGAGCAGTAATTCCATCGTCATCCTCTTCTGGTGGTAACGGTGACGATCCAGTTGTTACCACCTTCCCAGATGAAATCCCTGTTGCTCCCGAACCATCAATAAAAGTTACAGACCCAGATCTTATAACCAATGATGCCAAAATTGATGAACTTCCAAAAGTAAAAAAATCAAACAGTATAACAAATCTGTTTCGCAGACTCAGTTATCGGAAAAGAAGTGAGAGGGAAGAGAACAGCAGTTCAAGTGTGATGACCGAAGATCAATCTCGCAATGATAATGATTTTTCGACGATGCCAAGAGCGAAAGTAAAAAATAAAAAAAGTAATCTTGGATCTTTGATTGAGAAGTTGAATCGTAAGTTCTCTTTTACCAATGACCATCATCGTGATGCCGAACAACCCGATTCCGGCAAAAATCAAACCAACAACGAAATCAACAGTAACGGCAACGACAGCACCAGAATTTCTTCGAAACCTCCAAGGATTGATTGGTCCCTGTCTTCCGGTAATAGAAAGATCTTAAGGAAACCGGATCTAAAACAAAAACAAAAAGAAGTACTGGTTGACGTCAATGACTTCAGAGCTTCCACTTTATTCCCTGATGAATCTCCATTCTCAGGCCTTCAGTTAACAGCCGCCGAAACTTTGGACGTTAACGTTGCTGCCTCCTCCCGAAATTCGGTTACTAAATCTTCGGTTTCCTCGGAACGTGCCGACGACGACACGATCAAGGGTGACTCGGGAACAATTCGTCGTCGCAGTCGCATATTTGACTTATTCAACCCAAAGAGTTCGTCGACCTCAACTCGTGGAAGTCAAATAAATGTCAACGGCGTCAATCTTCGTCACGATAGGACGAATTCGAATAATGTGAAAGGTTCATCGTCATCGCTCTCGTCATCATCATCGTCAATAATTTTAACACACCAACAAGAATCCTCTTCATTACCTAAGAATCAATTATCATCTTTAAGCGGAGTTACCAGTGATATGCCCGATTATCTAGAAATCAGGAGTTCTTCGAACTCAAACCTTGACATGCAATATAGCAATATGGAAATAACGTCTAGAGAAAACCTAACATCCAACAATATTACCAAAGGAGATAAGATTAACAATAATAAGTCACCTTTTCGTATCTTTAAGAAAAAATTTTACAAGAGTCTGTTAACTTCTCACCCCTCCACATACATCAATAACACACAAAACAAAAAGTATATTCCTGTGACGAATTCAACCCCGATAATCGTTGGGACCCCGCCATCACCAACAAAAGCAATCACCGCCACGACCGATCCCGCGACAAATGGTTATTATGAAGTGACTAACGCCGAGTCAATGCAAGTGGAGTATGCCTCGTTGGACAGAAAAATTGAAGAGGAAGATGAAGGTGACGAAAGTGGTAAAGACGAAGATGACGAAGATGACTTTGACGAGATTGATGACATCACGCTTGACGATGGTGAGGAAGGTGATGTTTCCGCCATTCAATCACAGGCACCAGATTCAAGTTTATACACGACCTCAGATGCGGCGTCTCGTAAGCGATCGTTGTCCCGTATGTCATCATTCGCAAAATCGTTTAATTCCGACGATCCTTCGGCTTTCGGCACTGCATTTTCGAATCACGATGAACCAAATTCTGATTACACATTGGAAAACGCGTGGGATGCTCTCATCAATCTTCCTCTTACCGATAACAAAGGTCCTGCCAGATTAAGCAACAGCCATCTATCATATATTCCAAGTCATTTCTTCGACGGACTTCACAATCTCAATGAACTTTA